CCCCCCCCCCCCCCCGCCACCACCCCCCCAAAACAAGCTACAAAATCAAACCCCAAACCAGTCATCTAAAATGAGACGTAAGCCTTAATGGAGCGAAGAGATATTCGTCGGAAGCCCAGAGCTTGGTCAATCTTGTGCTGCCTGGCCCTCAAAAGGGTTTAGGGCTAGAGGTTTGGTGATACATTACATGTAAATGTTCAGTGAAGGTTTGGGGTTTGAGATTTAGGGTTAACCCTCTGAAGAGGGCTTAGGCTTGGGTTTGAACCCAAAAGCCAGAGCCCCGAGCACTTTCGAGCATGTAGACCCCTGCTTCAAAAAAACCTCTGTTTCAGATTAAGCAATAAAGTTCACGGTTTCGGGTTTAGTTCAGCAGAGGTCCACATCAAGCGCTGACCCCACAAGCCACTCTCGCAAGGTCGGCGAAGCGCAACCCAGAGACTCAGCAGCACATGACCAGGGAATTGTCATGTAAGGCCTTAATAATTAGAATTGGGGTTTGGGGGTCTATTATACTATACTTATAATAAGGAGCCCCTCCAAAATAGTATAGGTAATTGTTATTAAGGCCCCTATAGTATCCTAAAAAGACCTGAGGCATGCCATATGCTGTGGGGATCTTCAGGAAGCATGCGCTCTAACAAGCGTCCTCTCGGCTAAGGGTATGGGAGTCTCTGGCTTTGGGTTTACGGTTTCGCGGTTTTCGGTTTAGGGTTTCGGGTTTAGGGCTTAGGGTTTCGGGGTTAGGGTTTAGGATTTAAGGTTTGCGGCTTAGGGTTGGGGTTTAGGGTTTAGGGCTTGGGAGTCTCTGGGCACATGGTGTAAGGAGCGGCCCTCAACAAAGGCCAGGCTCTCCGGAAAGGTGCTTGGCCTCTTCCTGCGAAAGAAACTTCTTGGGTTTCTGTGATCCTCATAGGTTTCTTTCTTGTCATGCGGTTTCGGGTTTTGGGGGTCTATAAAGGTGGTGAAGCGGTGTCCCCTCTTGGGTACCTGTTGCGCGTAACTCACAAACCGCTATGGCCCTATCGCTCCGGAAAACACGCCTGCAAAACCTGAGCTTGAAATTTTGAGAGAGGAGACGCGGTCGCCAGTAACACCGGTACACCCTTTTTGCACAGACTTGTACATGCGCACCAGTACGCCCTAAACCCCGAACCCCCAAATCTAAAACCCCGATGCACGCTGCCGGATTCCATGGCGCAAAGTTCCAGCTCTACTTTGGCCC